ACACACACACACACACACAGAGTAAAAGCATTAGGCCACACCTCCAGGACTCTGGGCGTGTGCAGCAGGTGGCTGCAGCACTGGGACAGCAACTTGCGGCTCAGGGCCAGTCTGAGGAAGTAGCGGCCCCGGCCCTGAGCTGACAGCAGCTTCCTGCAGACCCTGGTCTGCTCCACAGCCAGGGACAGAGTGGACAGCCTGCAGACACACAACCAGCAGCAGAGTCACACCGCTGCAGACACACAACCAGCAGGAGAGTCACACCGCTGCAGACACACAACGAGCAGCAGCAGAGTCAAAGTGCTGCAGGGACAGGTGAAAACCTGTCATCAGTTACCTGCCGCAGGTGTCCAGGTGGGAGATTTGTTCGAAGCAGTGCCAGTAGTCTCTGTGTACCAGACTGAGGACGGGTTCTGTAAACAAACACCGAGACCACTTCAAACATGGACTGTTCAACCACACATCATAAGAACAGGTGAGGATGAATAAACCAGGTGAGAACATGAATAAACCAGGTGAGGATGAATAAACCAGGTGAGAACATGAATAAACCAGGTGAGGATGAATAAAGCAGGTGAGAGGATGAATAAACCAGGTGAGGATGAATAAATCAGGTGAGGATGAATAAATAAGTGAGGATGAATAAACCAGGTGAGAGGATGAATAAACCAGGTGAGGATGAATAAATCAGGTGAGAGCATGAATAAACCAGGTGAGGATGAATAAACCAGGTGAGAGGATGAATAAACCAGGTGAGGATGAATAAACCAGGTGAGAGTATGAATAAACCAGGTGAGAGGATGAATAAATCAGGTGAGAGCATGAATAAACCAGGTGAGGATGAATAAACCAGGTGAGGATGAATAAACCAGGCTAGGATGAATAAATCAGGTGAGAGGATGAATAAACCAGGTGAGAGGATGAATAAACCAGGTGAGGATGAATAAATCAGGTGAGAGGATGAATAAACCAGGTGAGGATGAATAAACCAGGTGAGGATGAATAAACCAGGTGAGGATGAA